CAAATCGCAACTCATCAACGGCAAGTTCAACATCTCCAAGAAAACAACACACATCTTCACAAACAAATCGCAACTTATCAACAGCGAATTCAACGTCTCGAACAAGAAAAGCAAGGTTCATTCAATATATTATCATTTTTAAGCACCATATTAGCTCCATCAAGACTAATTCTTAGGGTGGGTGTGGATATTGGTTGAGACTTGGTAAGGATCTTCAATGCATACACACCCAGGCCGACACGCACATCCACACCCTAGAAGTGTCTTATTGGAAATGCGAACAATGCAATTTCTTTTTGGCTCACCCATCAATGTTTTTTTATTCATGTAGTCAGTGATTGGATAGAGTTTTTTGTGAGAAGACTCAATTCAACACTGTCTCGAAGGTAGTTATCCCCGCCCAACTATGATACTTTAAGGGCTCCCCCCTCCTCAGAAAAGACAATTTCGGTCGTGTTTATCGATTTTGTGATTTATAACTCGTTAGATAGAGCACAGTGTCTACTTTCGAATGTACTACAGTTGATTGATTTTATGATGAGATTTAAGGACATTACATACGATTTTCTGAACCTTCATATTGAAAAAAATAAGTTTTTTAAAAACTTATTTTCCGTTTTTCTCAAAATCCATTTTTTCGAGTATACTGTTTACGCCGGCAAACCTTACTCAATAATGACTCAATATAAAAGTGGTAATGCTTTTTGTGAAACACGATCCGAAAGGAGTGTTGAAGTGGTTAGTGGTAGAAATTTCGATCCCCCTCCCCCCACAGACCGTGACAGACACTCACGTGGCCCATCGCAGACCGTGACAGACATCTTAATTAATTAATTAATTAGTATTTAATTAACTAATTAACCGTCACAGGCCGTGACAAACAGGGTTTGGACTCATCACAGACCGTGACAGACAGGCTTTGGACCCATCACAGACCGTGACAGACATGCTTTAGACCCATCACAGACCGTGACAGACAGGCTTTGGACCCATCATAGACTGTGACAGAGAAACTGTAGTTCTAAAGCATCAGATAAACGGTTAGCTATAAATGTATTGCAAAGAAATGGAACAAAACGATTTCCATTTAATCAGTAACAACAGATCCATCGTGTTTCACATTTTTAATCCCGCAAGGGATTGGGCTAACAGCTTTTTGTTATAGAGCAGACACTTGGGGCTAGATCCTAATAGAGCTCGATTTTTGAATTTCTCCTTCGTTTAAATAAAAAACTTAGATCTTTGATTTTAATTAGCGATTTTTTGGTCACGAATTTGAGAATTTTTGGAAAAAGTTTTTTAAAAAGCAAAGAAAGGGAAATTAAAAAATCGGGCTCTAATAGGATCTAGCACTAAGTGTACTCTACATTTTAAAAACCATCCCGACATGCTTAGCTCGAATCCTCACATTGAAAACCTTGCCCGCGTAAAGGGCATTTTCGACCAATGAATTGACTATAACTCGTGAATGGCTAGCAGATTTCGGGAGATATTTTAACCATAATCTATTCTAGTCAAGACTAACATTCTCTGCAATTTTGGTTGAAATCGGATGAAAAATAACAAAGTTGGTTTCTGAGGGGCCCACCCTTAATGAAAAATCGAAAACTCTATTAGTT